TTTTAATTCAGGAGATTATAAAAAAATCCTTCATTCTATGGGAAGAACCTCTTGATTCAAGAGAAAACTGTTTTTTAAAAAAGATGGATGCTTATTAATTAATTGTTAATCAATCTATAAGATAAATCAACTTCAGATTAATTCATTAACAATAACTTGCATCCTTAAGGAGTTAACTTAAATAATATCTACTCATATTCATGTAATTAAGTGTTTTAATGATTTGGCCGATTAATCGAAAAGTAATCAACAGATTAATCGATTATTAAAATAATAGTTAGTTGCAGCCCTAATCTTGTRTTGGGTTGCCATAAGTTAGTCAGTTGTACATGCATTTCCTATCATTTCTTCCAGCTAGTATCATTACAATTTGTTCCATGGTTAATTACATATTTTGGTACCAGAATACTGGTACTGAATGTTTGCTATTTGTGCTGTTTAAGGCTGCGTGGAAAGTCTGGGTGGTGTTGTGGCAGTGGCCTGTGGTCAGAACCATTGTCTGGCTCTGTGTGAATCCGGACACGTGTTCGCTTGGGGGGCAGGAGACGATGGACAGCTGGGGCTGCTAGCAGGGCAGGTTTACAGCAGTCATAAACCAAGGCAAGGAATCAAACCGTTTGACTCTAAATAAWTGCACACAGTTAATTCATCATTACATGTTTAACTAACTTTGCTCTCATCTCTGTGCAGCTCRGTGCCTATACCAATCCCCTTCCAGATAGTTCAGGTTGCTTGTGGAAACTCTCATTCCCTGGCATTGACTAAAGGTAAGTCCGTGAGTTTGCTGATGTGTCACAGCTTGAAGAATGTTTTTAAATTAACAGCACTTTAGATTTTTCTTTTATTTACTCTTTATTTTCTGTCTCCACAACACAGTAGCTGCGTTTCCATTGACCATGAAAATGCGCAAATTAGAAGTTCGAAAATAAATTTGCTCAACGGAAACACGTCAGTTTCGAAAAAACTTCCTTTTTTCGACAATGTTTTTGTGCTAGAATGAGGTGGTTTTTTTGGCCGTATCGAAATTGGTGTGTTTTGCAAAACTGCAATGGAAACACTTTTTCGCATCACRGGAGTCACGTGATCAACAACCGGCTGTTTCTACTGGCAAAAAAGATGACTAAAGAAGACAACAGGAAGTAGAAGTGGTRGTAGTAAAATCACAGAAGTTATAAAAGTAAGTAGTAAACTCACCGACTACAATTTCCCAAAAACKCAGCATACGCAGCTAGGGATGGGTACCTTTTGACGTTTGAATCGATACGGTACCAATATCAGGTATCTGGGAATCGGTACCGGTACTTAACGGTACTAATTTTCTGTACTTTGTGTGTGTTGTTTTTTCAGTATTAAACTTTTATTTTTTTATTTGACATATTTCTCAG